TTTTGCTCTGTCACCAGGCTGGAGTGCAGTGATGCGATCTCGGCTCACTGCAACCTTCACCCCCCGGGTTTAAGCAATTCTCCTGCCTCAGCCTCCTGAGTAGCTGGGACTACAGGTGCATGCCACCACGCCCAGCTAATTTTTGTATTTTTAGAAGAGACGGGGTTTCACCATGTTGGCCAGGATGGTCTCGATCTCTTGACATGATGATCCACCCACCTCGGCCTCCCAAATTTCTGGGATCATAGGCGTCAGTTGGGCTTATTAAATGCCTAGCCTTTCATTCTACCTACTCAAAGCAGGCTTACTGCAAGCTGTTGTGTAGTACATATTGCTTAAGGTTTGGGGTGAAAAGGGAAATTATACCATAAAAAGTAGCATATGTCAATATTAGAAAACTAAAAAGTAACTAGTATACCAGGGACCTGAAAACTACCATCTGTGAGCTAATTCCAGTTTTACTGGGGCACAGCCACGTCCATTCATTTGTCTACTGTCTCTGGCTTCCTTTTATACTACAACAGCAGAGCTGAGTAGTTACAACAGAGACCCCAAAATCCAAAAGCGTTTACTATCTGGCCTTTTAGTGGAAGACTTTGTTAACCCCTGAACTATATCTTACTGTGAGAAATTTCTCACTGGCTACTTCTCCTTTTAGCCTGAGCTTTCCATCGTCTTCCCAGGCCTCTCTCTCTCATTGGATACTCCTCTCTTTTGTTCAGATCTTTACTGCATTCTCAGGATATGCAGTAAATACTGGCATTTAGACTCTTGGGCTTCTTGCAAATTCGAAACTCCATTTTTCTTTAATATACAGAGCAATTTATTTGGCTCTGGCTTACTTTGACTACACCCAGGAATCCTAAAATGTCCTATCCGTAGGTGTTAGGGGCATTTTCAGGAACAAGGTCATCATGTGCCCTAGAAAAGAATTAGACCCATCCTGTAGAAAGCAGAAGCAAAAGCATCGAAGTCATTACTAAATTTCCTTTCTTTATGTCCTACCTCCTTCTCATATACATGTGCATTAAGCTCAACCTGGCATGTTACATCTACACACATCAGAAATCCTAATTGCAACAGATGACAGTGGAAGGGGCCACAGGAAAAGGAAAGGAAGTGGGAAAGGTATTTTATAGTTAACCAAAATATAAGTAGAAGCAATTCAAAGTTTTCTAAACACAAAGTTACAGATTATGTCCTATTTTCTCCTATAATAGACATGAATTTGCAATGCCCTGTTTCTTATCCGTCTTCCTAGTCACTTTGCTTCCAGCTTATTTGTCATTACTGTTTGAAAACAAATGAAATATACATTGCTTTTTTTTTAAATTCAGAATTGATATTTTACTTTTTGAAGCTTTAGTGTTTGTCTGGCCTGATCCTTCTCAAAAGGGCATACACTGGGGGATACATGGCTAATGTACTAAGGGGATCTAAAAATCATAAGATGAAAATGGCATGGTTTCCTAGAGAATATATTTTGTTAATGTTAATCCAGTAGTTCAAAGTAAAAATAGTATTATTTCAACACTAACACAGACACATTTATAAGGGAGCAAACAACAAATAAATAATGCAGGAAGTTTAAGATAAAAGAAGACAGAAAATATTGTGCTTTCAGGAATGCTTTAAGTTATGTCTTCAAAGTTCTTGGGTGAGGTATTCACTTTCCTTTACTATCAGAGTGCTAGGGGGAAAAGCCAGGCGGAACTGATTCAGGGCTAGCTGCGCAGGCACTCATTCACAAACAGACAAAAGAACTGCAGACTGTAAGAACAACAATCATTTTTACAAGACTTCGTTTAGAAAACATTCTGCAATGCTAAATTATTTGATTTAGCTTTATTACTGTCAGATTATCTGCCTGCAACACTTTTCCACCTCTCTTTCTTTCCAAATTCTCTTACCCAGCTCAGGATTCACACACTCAAGATGCTCTTCCAAACAACTCTAGTCCAAAATGATGTCTCTCTTTGAAACTCACATTTCCTGACTACACCATTTAAAAAATAAACAATTTTAAGAGTGATGTGTCATCATTACTAAAAACAAGAAATAGGGAAAAATATAAAATATGTAAAAGTTACCTGCAGTAACCTCTACCTAGTAGTATTCTTAAGCTTCTTTGCATATTATTTTACATTTGCATGTGCACCTTGAGATTATATTGATTGTACAATATTGAATCCTGCTTTTTTTCACCAAATGACAAACGTTTCTCCCATCATTATAACAGTACATAACCTATAGTAATTGATATTTCAGGTGTTGCTTTTTGCCTGTTAATGCTATTGCATTCATTTACTTGCTCGTTTACTCTTCAAATTCTTAGCCACTTACAATGTACCATACATTGTGCTTATGTGTGTTTTCTTTACCATGCTAAATTACCTTCTGGTGAATAGAGACAATGCTTTTTTAAATCTCCCCAAATCACTGAGTATAGATAATCAAATGAGAAATGTTCAGTAATCAATTGAGCATGTTAATCAATTGATAAATGAATTTATGAAAATTTCATTTATCCTCATCTTTTTGAAAATATTCTTTTACATCAGAGTACACCTCAAGTTGTGTGCACTGACTACGAATCACATTTTAGTAGGTAGAAAGTCTTTTAAAATTTTGTTTCGACTTTCCCTTTAAGATTGGAATTTGGACCACAGTGTTCCACTGGAACAAAGTGAATCATCTGTGTCAAAATACAGTAGACAAGATGTGAGTTAAAATCTGTGCCAAGCGTTAAGACCTGTACACCCAGCTTCTGGGGCAGAGTAAAGAGGCAGGCTCAAAGACATGTCCAAAGCTGTGTTTTGGACAAGAGAGTGTTTGGAGAAATACAGGCAACAGGTGATGCTGGAAGTCCTGTGAAATGGAATGAGAATGATGATGAAGAATTTGCTGGCAGTAATAACTGAGGAGCAAATGAGCTGGAGGGCCTCATCAGGAGGTCTGTCCATTGGTGGACGGACACCATTCCTGGCCTTAAAAGGAGACGCTCCTGTATGACTGGGGAAGCACTTGTACCAAATCCACTACTGTAGCTCATTCTAGACTGTAAGTAGAAGAGAAGGACATGCTTTCTGAAGCTGACCCCTCCAGGATGACCAGTTCCTATTTCTGCCCCTGCTACCACCATAGTTTAGGACAAGAGACTCAAAAAAGCACTTCTTGTGTTATGAGTGACCTGTACATTTTCTAGAATGGAGTAAGGCTCCTTATTTCTTTATTTAGTAGCACAACTCTGACAACGCTTTTTCTTTGTACAAAATTTAAAAGGGAAAAGTCAAGTTACTCATTAATCTCTCTTATCTCCTCAGTGTCTCCATTTATGCCACACTTTCTTGTGCCCTACATAGCAGTCATCACAGAGGGCAATAAACATCTCTAATAACCTTGTAATTTATATGGAATGCTAGCATCATGATTATCAGCCTATAAAGTCTGGGTAATTCAATTGTCAACCATACTGTTAACTAAATGAAAACATCCTGTTATTTCAGTGTCCTTCCTTGACAAAGTACCATAAAGCTGAAGAACATCTCGAATAAAATTTTGGTTGGAAAGGAGCCAATTGATTTCAACAGAATAAGATCTGAGCTTCATAAAATCTTTGAAGTAACTTCACAGAGATGTAGACATGTGCACTTGAAGATGCTGCCGCTTCCCAAGGGCCTAATAAAGCTCCTCCCTCTTTGTGTGCATCACTGTAAAACCCCCACCCTTCTGCCTCATGCTAAAAGCACGTAGTATCTACTCAGGGGAAAAGACTGCATTTAGGATATAGAAAATAGTTTGAATTACTTAAAGGAATAATAGGTTGCCTGGAATTTCTGGTTTATATGCTGGTCATTTTTCTTTTTTAAAATATTTCTAATATAGAATGGACTCATTAAGGAGAGCTTGGAAAATGAAGAAAGTTATGAAAATAAGTAAGTCACATATAATTATGCTACCTAGAGATAACCACACCTAATATTTTGATTCATTTTCTGTCTATCTTTTTTCACAAAAAAGTATGTGCTGGTTTACGCACATACTTTCCCCCCTTAGCTTCCTTTTATTTTATAGAACAGAAACCTACTCTTTTAAACAGCGTGGAGTGAAATATATGCTACATATTTTCTTTAGGGAGAAAAATTAATTTACTAAAAAGACATTAAGTGATTATCGGAAGAGTGATTAAGATTACTCAAGGGAAATATTTGGAAAATAAGCTTTGGGTATTTTCTAAGCTTTGTTTCAAAAGTACTTTGTACTATGTTCTATATAAAAACATACTAAAAATTGAAATGAAAGAATAATTGTAATTATAAATGTAACTAGCTTACTTTTGTATGGATTCAGAATATACTAAATTAACTTTTAAAAGCACAACTTTTAAAAAATTTATCAAAATAATAACCATCTTCTGACATTTTTAAAAGAAGTGACACTGTGCTCTTTAGTCCACATATTTAGAGATCAAAAATTTGTTATGATATTATGCGCCATGCTAATGACCTCTGGAAAACATCAGAATATTTCTAGATACTTAATAATAGCTTTATATATGACTGCTACTCATTTCTGTGTAATTCTATTTAATAGTTGCTTTAGAGATGAATTCTGCCACATTTACTCTGACAATGATATAAGAAGCAAAAGAGAAATGAACCTGAATTTCAATTTAAAATTAAACCAGAATAAGAAAACTCCACTGATAAACTGCAAGAAAAAAATGCCACTAACATCACAAAAAGTAAATGCTTTATTATTTAGAGAGTACTTAAAAATTCAAAGACCAAACTTCTCTCCACCCCACAAGAATGGGCAAAGGACATACAGCTAGGTCACCAAGAAAGAAGGGCAAGTAACCAGTGAATATATGTAAACATACTTGATAAGATTTTGCTTAGTTGGATCTTTAGCAAATCTCTTTTATTTCTTGGGATTTTGAAGAAGTAACTTTTAAAGGAGAACTAGAAACTAAATGCTTGGGAATTGGCCTTTTTTAGAGTTAAAATTCCCCATCACAAGAAAAAGAAAATCCTGTGTTCTTGTTTTTTGTTTTTTGGGTTGTTTTTTTTTTTTTTTTTTTTTTTTTTTTTTTTTTTTTTTTTTTTTTTTTTTGTCCAGAATGGAGTAGGTCAATGAGCAATGTGATTAATAGATATGCAATGCCTGTGACTTTTGTTTTGTTTTGGAGACAGGGTCTTACTCTGTCACCCAGGATGGAGTGCAGTGGTGCTATCTAAGCACACTGCAACCTCATCTGTAACTTTTTAATTGCAAGAAAACCAAAAGATTTTTTCCCATTACCTCAGTTATAATGGGAAATATCGCATATGCTAACTATGAGTAAAATACTGTATTGCTTAACTTGTATTATTAAGCAATTCTGCTGACTTTGACTTTACATCTTCATCTGAAAAGCAGGGGCTGGACACCAGCTGCTCTCTGAAGCTATTCCTAGTCCTAACAGTCTTTGTTTTGTTTGTTTGCTTGGCACACTTAAGTGTGTAGTGTAAAGTTCATGATGATTAAATGAAATTTTCTGTCTCTACCCTTTTAATGAGAAAGAAATAAAATACTTTATTTTACAAATCTACTTATGGAATATAGTTTGTAATATACTTATGCCTTCAAAGCCCTCAAAAGCCAAGAGGAAAAAAAGTACTATCCATTCCTTCTGAGAAATGCACTTCTGTCTGTACCTGAGTGTTTTCACAAATCCCTGTGTTGGTGTGTAATGCCATGAAATGCTCTTGATGGTAACAGGAAAGAGACTCAGACACAGCTAAACATAAAGGTCAGTTGGCTGCAGGTGCTTAGGAGGTACAAATAGAGGCCCATTCATGCTGCTACACCTGCTCCTGAAAAGCATACCGTAAGTACATTATGCTAATTAGGAGGCAAAGAACCATCTAACACCAAATTTTAAAAGAGTTGGCCACAGTTCAATGACATCCTCGCACACCAGCCTCCACCCACACTGGCCTTCATAAGGCCCTTAAAGGAGATCACACAGTTCTAAACCTGGTCCACAAACACACATATCCTCCATTCTCTCCTTTTCTCCTCTTTGGCAGTTTGACAAAATCTTTACAGGGAGTTGGAGGAAACGTTAGTGTTTAATCTCCTACTTCAATCAAAACTTTGACTTCAGGTTTTACCCCTGTTAAGGCCTCAGGAAGTTCATTGCTGACACCCTCACCCCCATTTGAACTCAGCGACTAAAATGATCTCAAGGCTAAGGGACAGACCACAGGTATGCTTGACAAGTAAGCCTGCAACACCTGATTTAGGAACGTTTGCTGTGCAGACAGTTGTAGCTCATCCCTTTTACAGACAGATCTCGATTTGTTTCCTAAGGTCTGATATTATTTAAATCGAAATCTCTCAGAATTTTCAGGGCATTTAGTAAACTCATGCTGGGGGAGAACTGGCAGAGACATGTTAAATGCGCTTGACCACAAGAACCATTTATTTCATCCAATATTTACCAGCTATTCATTGTACACCTACTATAGATTTTGGCACTGGAGATATTATAAGAGAACTCTATCCCTGACTCAGGGAACTTGTCCAATAAAATAGGGAACAAGACTCAAAACCATTCAAATGAAGCTTCAGTTGACTCAAATAAAAATAAGTTTTACAAATTTAATGTGAAAATCTTCAGGTATGTTAAGAATGCCTTGATTAACCCCAGAGATAGAAACTTTACTGATTAGAAGGAAGTTTCAATAAAATACCAATCTTTGAATCTAATCTGACACCTAAAACTAAGAAATCAAACACTAGCCACATGTTTCTTGTATAGCTTATAATAATTTTTCTCATGAGAAAAAATATATTTTTCTTCCATGCCTGAAAATAGATGGAGAATTTTTAGTATCTATTGCTATGGAGAACAATAAATAGGCTATCTGCTTTCAGAAATGAGTGCTGTCATCGAGCCACAGAACATGTCTGTCATGTCACTCTTTCGTAACATACATTAACAGAAATAATAATTTCCCCATTGAGTTTCCTGTTTACTATCTCCTAAATTATACCTCCTTTAATTGCAGTCATGAGTGTCTGAATTTTATAATCCAAGATACTAAGACGTTTATTTGACATACCAGCACAATTAATGTCTTGTATTCTCAGCCAAAAAAATTAAAATTTTTGTTGGTCTCACAGGAAGATGAAATTTCATGGTTTGGTGAACCCAGAAAGTCTTCAGTATGTCTCGGTGATAGAACTGTGTTAAAAACATTTAAACTGTATAATTCTATAAGACCCATTTTTAGGTGTATACACTGAGCATCCAGTTCCTCACCGTCCTCTCATGTGTTAACTCTGGGTAACACAAGGTCTACTCTCATAATTCTATGAACAAAATGGCCCTTGATACCGGTTTGATTTTTAAAAATAAATTTTTCTTTACCTTACTCTAAATGTAACATAGGGTCAACATAGAAAACAGAAAACTGAAAAGCACAAGGAAAGTGAAATATCTATAATCTTTTCAACCATTGTTATTCTTGCTGTATTTCTAACTAGTTTCTTTTTCTTTCTTTCTTTCTTTCTTTTTTTTTTAAGAGATTTCTGCCTCAGGCTCTTGAGTAGCTGGGATCACAGGTGCCCACCACCATGCCCAGCTAATTTTTGTGTTTTCAGTAGAGACAGGGTTTCACCATGTTGGTCAGGTGAAACACACACACATACACACATATATATATATATATACACAAAAATATATATATATTATATAATATATATTATATATTATAAAAAAATATGTATTATATTAATACAAAAATACTATATATGTGTGTGTATATATATATATACACACACATATATAGTATTTTTGTATTAATAAAAGGAATGCCAGAAGGCACATGCCAATTTGGACTCTGCTTTTTCTACTGACAATTATATCATAGTTTCTCATATTTGGTATTCTTTTGCAATACCTGCTGCATAGAATTCCATCACACAAAGGTAACTACCAGAAATTCCTTATTACTTTTGCTAGACACTTAGGGTTTACATTTTTTCCAAAATTATGAATCTTTGATCACAGCTCTGATGATTTCTCTGGGAACTGACAGCCTAACAGAAGTCATGTCCACTTTAAGACTTTTAACTTACTGAAAAGTTATGTTAAAACCAGAATGCTGGTCCCCCTGCAACACGTTCATTCACATTGGCTGACGTTTTAATTCTTTGCCAATCTGAGAGAAAGAAATGTCAACTCTTTTTGTTTAATCTTTTAATGCCAGTCATGTCCGTTTTTTCCCCTTTTCCCAGTCACACTGGTTTACTCACAACTCTACCGATCAATCCTGCTCATTCTTAATTTTCCAGCATTGTTCCTGAGACTGTTGCACAAAAAAAGAAAGTTCTCCCCCTTATCCGCTTGACCTAACAATTTCTACCCATCCCAATCCTCCTGCATTTATTGCTTCCAGGAATTTGGCACTTAGGACACCGTTGTCCTTACATTGTTCATGCATGTGTATTTCGTCTTCAATAAAATATTTAGTCGCTCAAGGGCAAGGGTCCCATAGAGTCCCAATACGCTAAGGGCCTGATGTCGCTTAATATTTAGATTCCAACGGGGGACCTCTCTGGGGAGGAAAGCAAAGAGCAAATTACCTTAGGGGCTGGGAGTGCAGGAGCCAAACCTTTGAAACTGAAAACAAGAGGGCAAGAGACGATTCAGTAGCAGGAATTCAAGCAAGAAAAACTCAAATATTGTTCCTAATAATGTCTAATGGCAAATACCTTGTAAGGGCCCAGGCAGTCCGGACAGCCTGCAGTGCCCCAGGATAAAACCAACCGTGAGGGCTGCTGGCCCACAGTGATGCCCGGCCTGGGCTCTGGACACGCCCTATCTCCTTGAAAGCCAACGGGCTGCCCCTGCGCACCGAGGCCCCGCCCAGTCGTCCGCCGATTGGCCCCACCGCCCCTGTGCCGGGACTCAATTCCGCCCCGGGATTGCCCAGGCCACGCCCACCTGTCAAGCGGCCCTGGACACTTTTTTAGTTTGAGGAATGTTGTGTCCAATAACCAGACTCAGAAGGGACTTCCCTGCTCAGCTGGCTCCGGGTTTCTCTGCTCACCTCCGGATAAACTACGGCGTTTCCCACGCCGCGCATGGAGCCTCCCGGCCGCCGCGAGCGTCCCTCTCCTTCCCGGCGCTTTCCTGGGTTGCTTCTGGCAGCCCTGGTGTTGGTGCTGTCCTCCTGCTCCGGTAGGATCCCGGGGCTGGTTCGCGCGTCAGCGGACAGGCTGGAACTCTGCTCAGTCAGTCAGGCAGGAGGCGCGGGGCGGGGCTGACCGTAGGTCCCGCCTGCTTGGGGTAGAGGGAGAGGCCAGGGGCGCAGTGCGCAGATCCCTGGGGTGTGTGGCGGGGGATGCGGGGACCACTTAGAGCCCAAGGTGAAGCTTGTTTGCTGGAGTGATGTGCGCGGCCCGCATTTACGGAGGGTCTGGCTGCGCCCCCAACAAAAGCGTGCCCAGTGTTTTCGGGATTGAGCATAGTCCGCAAGGGGAACGTGGACTGGGTGCCCCTGGTAAGGGCCTGCTTTGGAGTGCACGGGTGCGTGGGAGTGTTGCCAGGGCCGGTGCTGTGCCGGCGGTGAGAGTTTAACCTGTGTTCCCTGGGTGGGGCAGTTGGCGCCTTGGTGAGCGGGGTGTTCCTTAGCGCTTTGGCGGTATCTGAGAAAAGTGCTGCAGTGCGTCCGTCCGCTGTGCCCCATGGGCTGGGCTGGCATGGGCTGTGCTGGGCGACCAGGGGTCTGGCCTGGTGTTGTTGAGAGCGTGCTGTGTGCAAGTGGCCTGCCCTTCAGAGTTCACGATGGACAAGACCCCTCACTGTTTGCTTTGAATGGAGTGACCGTGGACTCTGGGCTAGTGGGGGCATGTTGGGTGACAGCAGGTTCTCAGTGCCTGGGGTTAGAGAGGGTGGTAAGGGCGCGCCATGCGTTTTGTGCCTTCTGTGAACAGTCTCCGTGTTGCCTGAGATCGTACTGGTTTTGATTTTTAAGTGGCTGCTTTTTTGTGGGTTGGTGGGTCATCGAGTCATCTTCCTGTTCCCAACCAATATAGCCACTATCTGATTCCATTACCTAATGGATTTTTGACATCGTTTTCCTTCTTTTCATTAGTTTGAGTCATGTTTGAGAGATGTGAAGCAACCTAAAAAAAGCTGCTAACCAAACCTAGTGAGAAATTAGTATTCTAACAAAGGAAGGCAAATTATGTTAATCTGGTTTTCCCCTGCAACTCATAAACTAAAGCTGAAGGCCCATCCCGCTAAATTTGTTTTGTGTTGCATTGAATGGAATCAGTACTTTTAAAAATGCATACTAGGCTAAATCTTTCTCCATTGTGCCGTAGAATGATTATTTTCAATATGAAATTTGTTGCAATATATTCTTCGCACTGTTTTGTGTTTGACAGCAGTGGACTTTGAGTACCAAATTTTTCGAATAGCTACTATGAGGGACGTATTGTGCTGGATGTTGTGGTCACGAGGATGAAGGGGGTCGGCCATGTTAACTATTAAACACAAAAGCAAGTGATAGTTACCTGAGAGGTCCACGCAGGGGAAATTCCAGGAGAAGGTGACTGATCACTGCTTCACAGGGGAAGGCAGAAAATCTTCCTGAAGGAGCTGATGATTGGATTAAGGAAGACAAGGGTTGAGCAGGAGTCGTAGCTACTGGCCAGGAAGGAAGGGTATTCAGAGCAGAGGAAGCAGTGTGAGTAAAAGACCAAGATGTGATACTGCTGGCCTGCCAAGCTACTCAGTGTGACAGAATAGGGCAAAGGAGACAAGAAAGGAGAGGACCAAATCACAGGGTGAGTGATTCCGAAAAGCAACAGGCTCTTCAGGAATAAACAATCACCATCATAAATTCAGACTTGGCCATTAGTACCTGTCCTTTTAGGGCAGCTTGAACCTTTCGTTTGACTTGACACAACATGAATCCAAACAAGGGTTGTTTTCATTTCCCCAGGCACAGTAGCAGACAATTTCTTAAGGACATAATTGCAGACAGAGTTTGTTGATGTCAGCATGTGGGAGCTCCACATGAGTGGTAGTAATGGGAAGCAGTTTGGTAGTGGTTCAGCAGTGTGGCCCTGGGAGCCTGGTTGATTGGCCTGCCTCCTAGGTCTGTCACCTAATTGGAATGCATTCTTAGGTTCTGATTGTGATGGGCTGGAAAAGTCTCTAAGGTATGTTAGGAAGCCTTAGACATTATCCTGAGGTCACTGGAGAGCTATTGAAAGGTATCTGTCTTGGAAAAGCCTTGATTACTGTGTCACATAAATATTGCTCTGGCATCGATGTGAAAAAATGAATTGAATGAAAGGTGACAAGATAGGTATGGAGACCTATTCAGTTATGTCATGGTAATCCAGATAAAAAATGACAGTGGCTTGAATGAAAAGTAAAGGATAGAGCTACGCAGACTAAACGGGCATTTCAGCTGTGGAAACATAACTTGTTTGTTGGGTGTGTGTGTGTGTAAAGAATCAGAAGTGGCACTTGGGCCTCACTGTGTTGTTTGAGATAGTGTGACACTCAAGTAGAGCTATGTGGGAAGGCAATTGAATATGTAGTTTTGGCAACCCAGCTAGCGATCTGGGATGGAGAGATACCCAGCTGGGAGGCAGTGGTAATGAAGTCACAGGAGTGTATACATTCACCAGGGGGACCTGCAGAATGGAATCACAGGAAGTCCTCAAACAGACTCATCAGGGATATTAACTTGATATGAGCCAGAGGACAAGCTGCAAACCAGAGTGGTGTGATCTCCTAAAAGCCACGGAGAAAGAACTTTTCAGCAGAAGAGAATGAGGACAGAGTGATCAATGGTTCTCGTGTTATCAAGAGGGTAATGAAAACTATTGAGGAGGAGACTTTTAGGAGGCATTTAATGACCTCCAAGGAGGAGGTCATTTAATGACTCGGAAAGTAGTTGAAGTGATTTTTGTAGATCTAGAAATGAGTGGGAAGTCAGAAATGAAATTGAAATATGTACATGTCAGAGTTTATGTTTTGCAGAAGTAGAAAAGGTTTTAAATAGATTGGATAGTGGGAGAAGGAGCAAGATGGTCAGGTTTTATTGCAGTTTTAGTTGTAGTCAGATACCATGAATTTCTGGTAATGCCAATCTGGGCAGGGCTGTGGGTATGCATGAACATTAGAGTTAATTTTTTGCAAGCAGGTGTGAATGTACAGAAATTGAGCAGTTCAGTGGATCCAGTATAGATAATTAATTCACTTTACTGAAACTCACCTGGAACTTTGGAGAATTTTCTGACTGTACCTATCTTATGATATAATGTCATCTACTGTTAAAGTATAGCTTAATATTATTTTTAACGTATAGCTTAATATTAATTATAAAATATCTAGAAAAAATAAGTCAAGATACTGTTTTTTGGAGGTAGGCATGTTTAATTTGCAAATCTCCATAGGAAGAAAATCCAGTGTTCTGAGCAAGAGAATAATTTTTTTTTTGAAATGAAGTCTCACTCTGTCACCCAGGCTGGAGTGCAGTCGCGCCATCTTGGCTCACTGCAACCTCAGCCTCCTTGGTATAGGCAATAGGTTTTTAAGGAAAACATCTGACACATGTTTCCATGTTTTCAATGTATTGCCTATGGGTGCGTTGCAAGACATGATATATAAATAAAATATTGGACAATGTATAAATAGAGAATTTTAGAATTTAGAATATGACATGAAATGAAATATTTCACTTGATTAGAATTTTCTTGACCAGTCTCTCAATCTGAGGTAGGACCAAGATCCAGAGAATATGAGAAAACATGCTCCTCAGAGATCAAAATAGATCTATAGTCTTTGGTCCTTCCCCAACAGAAGAGGCTTCTGCATTCTTTTGGCCCTGTAGGCTTTTACTTGATGTCTCCATCATCTTATTTTACAAGCCCACAGATAATTTCAGGAAGATGAATTGCCATAGTGTTTCAGGATCAGCCTTAGACAGAACCCCTCAGACACTGGAGTGAGGAAGGAAGAGACTTTATTCAGCTGGCTGTGGAGCATCTGTTGACTTGTGTCCAAAAAAGCCACGCTCCCCAAAAAACAGTTTCTTTCCCTTTTTAAACACATGCAACCCAAGGGGGAGCAGAGGTAAACCTGTGTCATTACCCATTGGCTAGACATCTGAACTTACAGTTTATGGCTTTCATTGATTTGCTAATTTACATTTAGTGCGGGCAGGAAGGGGGAAAGAGGAAGAGCTCAAAAGTTAAACAAAGGCAGTGAATTACTTAGTGTCAGAGACATTCCTGATGGGGGGTCTGGTTTATGCAAACATGGGGTACAAGACTCAGGGAAGGTCCTTGGGCAGCAGGAAAAACATTCTTTTGCAACATTTTCAAGGCTGATAGAAAACATAGGTACCAGTTAAAGAGAGGGGAGTTGTTCTCTCAGCCCTCGGGCCCTGCCGTGGCCAGGCCAGTGAGGTCAGCATCTTGCCTGACTACTGACTTCAGCTTTTTGCTATTTTACTTCTTTTACCGGCAAACAGCAGGCAGTAAATAAAGGGCTCACCCCCACATTTCATCTTATTTCCCCACTTTGAGACTCTCACTATTTTACTTTTTTTAGTGGGAGCTCTCACCTTCATTCTCACTGTCAGAGTCTTGTGAGACTGGTCAGTAGTGATTCACCTAATAAACTTGTGCTGAGGGACCAAGGTGGCAGTAAAGCCTTTTACCATCTGAGGAAACAAGAGCATTAAACAAGGGAGCAATGAGCATGCTCCTATTACCAGCAGTACAGCTATAGCAATGGTTTTGAATCCTCCTATAGCTGGAAACCATTGTCCAAACATAGACCCAGGGCCAAACCCATGCCAAACGTGCATGGGTACATGTGCTAGTTTTATCATGTCCCTTACGATGCTTTTAACTACCTGACCCTGGTCATCTCTCTGTAGGCAGCAGTTGGTTAGGCTGAACTTTCCACACACCCCTCCTTCACCTGCCAGCAGATAATCTAAAGCCAGTCTACTCTGGTAGATGGCATTTCTCATCTGGGTTTGCTGCCAGGCCAGGATGGTTAGAGCCTGGCTAGTTTTATTGGTCAGCATTTCCAGAACAGCTTGTAATCAAATGATTCGGTAATGCATGTAAATTGGAGCACGATAACCCCATGAGCCATCTTCTGCCCAGGTGGCAGGCCCACAGTACTGGATTATTCTTTCAGGG